GTTTTAATGCGACTCGGGCGCGCTAAGTTTTTGTACATCATTTTTTTTCTTAAACATCAGATTTTATTTTATATTTTATTTTTATGTAAACACAGGTACAATAATTCAATAAAATTTTATTGATAACTACAAATTGACATTAATTTTGGATTAATAACATTTTTTTTTATCTTTGCAAAGTTTTTTTTTTTACTTTATAGTATTAAAAATTTGCGCCATTTTTTGATATTATATTTTTCGTAGAAATAATGAAACAACTTTTCAAATAAAAATGAACTACAAAATGAAATGTATTTCACTGTAAAGTTTTTTTTATTTCATTAAATTTGAAATTAGCGTCAGTTCTTGATATCACATCTTTTGTATCAATATAAAATTTATTACTAAAAAGACTTTTGTAAATGAAAATTTTTGTTTCTTTTACATAAATAAGAAAAGAGGCGCGTGAACTTGGCGTTACTTTTTACTTTTTTTGAAAAGGTAATTTTGTTAGGATGGTATAAAACACAATATGTAAGAAAATTGATTGTCGTCACTTGTCAAAATTCACATAGATATTAGAATGTAATGATAATGAAATTGTTTTTATTGGTATTCGCAATCTCAGTAAATTATATTTTACTGAAAAGAAAAAAGTATTATTACATAATACGTAAAGCACAAGTTGTTAAATGACATTATTTTCAGAAATTTACTAGTTTCATCTTACAAAATCTTAAATATCTTAAATATCGCATACAAATGGATGGCGCACAATTTGCACTTGTAAATAAATAACGAAATAAAATAATTTATTGTTATTAATATTTAAATTATTATTATATATAAATTTATTATAAAATGTTTTAAAAAATTTATTATTATTGTTCTATAATAGTATTTCGACCGATTTCTATGATAATAATCTTATTTATTTGTAAGATATGAAACTAGCAGATTTCTGAAAGAAATGTCATTTGATAGCTTACGCTTTATGTAGTATTATGTAGTAATATGTCTTCTTCTCTTCAGTAAAATATAATCTGCTCAGATTTCATCTGCACAGTATATTTACATGAATATCAGTAAAAATAACTCACTGCCTTTGCATTATAATCTTTATATCAATTTTGATAAGAGGGTAACAGTCAGTTTTCGTCTTTCGTATTGTACATTATATCACAAGCGCGCGAACCTAATTCGCTAACTCTAAATATTTATAATTCAAAAAGCATTGTAGCTTCGACATTTTGGTATTAGGATTTTCAAAATGATCTCAGGGCAACGATCATATAACTTTTCCCTAGGACGAAAACGTGAAAAGTGAAAAATTTCACGTGAACTGTACAATTTCGCGAGATCATGTAACTCTTTCAAACGTGAAAATATGAAATTTTTCACGTGAACTTTTTCGTCATGAATTTTCGTGACAGAAAGGCGGAAATCTAGGGAATTAATAAATATGTTTCGGAATTAGAGAAGATTATAGCTGAATTCAGATTAAATGTACATACGCAAATGTACATATACAATCGGTTGTTAAAAAGTTAATTATAAGTGTTTTATAGAAAATAAGTTACGAACTAAAGTTACACGTACTCAGAGAACATTATGACATCTTAAATATTATAAGACGTCTTATTAAATTATAAAAAGGACATCTTTAAGTCGCCTTTAAGGCATCTTATAACTCGATTTATAATGTCTTTGAGACATCTTAAAGACGCCTTATGTTTCAATAAATGACATTTTTTAGATGTCTTTCAGACGTCTTATTTAGTTTTTTGGACATTCCTATAATGATATAAAAATTAATTATACGGAAAGTATTGACAAGAGGAAAAATACAAAGCAGAATTTGGAATTACTTTGGAATTACTAATAAATCGGTACATCATTAATATAATTGTTACACAACTTTGATAACGATCTATCTATTATAATCAGAAATCAATTTTAAAAGTGTTGTGTAGATATTAAATCATTGACATACCGAGTAATTCGAGCTTTATTCCATTGATTTATCAAGTAATTCTAGCTTCTATCTCGTATTCTTCCCCTTGTCAATATGTTTCCGAATAATTTCTTAATTGTTGTTGTATATTATAATACAAATTATTGGAGTACTAGATAAACTGACTGCTAATATTTTTATAGATTGCATTATATTGAAATTGATCATGTCATTTATTCCAATCAATAAATATGTAGTCGCTTTCTCTGTGTTATAGTGTATGTTAGTGTTATAGTGTAATGTTATAGTCAGTAATATAAGTAATTATATTTGGAACTGTCATTTAGAACTTTTAGATGTTATATTGATGACTGATTGAGATTACATATGTCTTAGAAAAGATGTCAGAAGAACGTTTTTTTATATAATTTTAAAAACGTCTTTAAAAGGATATCTTTAAGAAGTTTTTTTCAAGACGTCTTTAAGATATGTCCAAAGACATATTTATGATGTCTTTTGGTAAAGTTTTAAAGACGTCTCTTATAAAACGTCTTTTAAATGTTTTTTAGACATGCGTGCTGTCTGGGATTTATTTTACCTCCTTCAAAGTACTCTTCATTTAATGTAATTCACTAGTGCAAACGCTTGTCCCAGTCCTCAAAGCACTTTTCATACGCTAAAATTGATATTGCTTTCAGCTCTCGTTGCGAATTTTTTTTTATGACATCAATTGATTCAAAACGCTTTTCTCGGAATGGCAATTTGAGTTTAGGAAACAGAAAAAAAATTATAGGGAGCCAGATGAATATAATGTTTGCGGAATGACGTTTGTTGAGTTTTTGATTAGAAATTCCCGTACAAGGATCCAGATATGCGATAGAACATTATCGTAGTGCAAAAACCATGAATTGTCTTTCCATAAGTTTAGTCTTTTCCAACGAATATTCTCATACAAATACTTCATAATGGCTGCGTTTAGCAGAGAAAACAGCTTTGCAACTGTTGTTAAAAACTTTAATATGATTGGTTTTTGTCTTAGTTCCTCATAGATTTAAATATATAAATTAATCATATTAAAAAATATTTGCAAAGCTGCTTTTCTGCTAAACGCAGTCAATATTTTCTATTAATTGGCCTTCCGGAAAAAATTATAAATACACAACATTAGAGTGAGTCCCAATTGCGTACAGAATAAATCGGACACAGTAGGTTGAATGGATCGGACATAGGTTCAAACGGACACAAGATGATTGAAATCGGACACAGTGAAAATTGGACACAATGGCAATCGGACACAGTGGCAATCGGATACATTGAAAATCGGACACAATATTAATTGATTTATCCGATTTATTCTGTGCGCAACTGGGACTTCCCTGTCTATTGGAGCGGACGAATCGGACAGGACAGGACTGATGATCTCTTTACAAAATTGCTGGATTTATATATCCGATTTTGCGCTTACGTATTAAAATGTCATTTGCTATAAAACATGATTTCATGTCAGAATGTTACTTGCTGTAAAACAGCTGATCACGCCGTCGAAGTGTGATAGTGCGCGTGCGATGTTCGGACGAGTTCGGGGATGTTCGGGCGGTCCCGGACGGCGTGGGCCGCATAGCACGCTTAGTAACGAGCGTCAAAAATGCTCTGTTACTAAGCGCATTAATTTATTCATTCTTATTGTATTTGGTAAAGCAGTACTAAATTTTTTGTATTTAAATTTTCTTATGTCAATTAAATTGTTTCATTTTATTCTGTTATCTATTTTATTTTTTTCAATTCTTTTTCAGTCTCTCACTTTATAAGAAATACATTTAAATTTATTTTGGAGAATCCTTATAGAAATTTGTGCCAAAATGTCATATAGATATATCACAGACATAGATATATAATGATGTTATTGATCATTAAAATGCTACAGTGTGTATGCGTGCGTGCGTGCGTGCGTGCACGCGCGCGCGTGTGTGTGTGTGTGTATGAGTAACAGAACAGATTTCGGCAGTAGACAAATTGACTAATAATTAAAGTAAGAAGGGAGGGTATGCGTCACGGCGGGGCCCGACCACGAATCAGTGAAAAATTTTGCGAAGTCGTAATTATTTTGCGAAAAAATATCACCTCAGCCAAAAATCGAACCTGGATCTCCTTCTTACCGGGCAGGCATCTTATCCCTTCGATTATTGAGGTATGTGATGATATTTATCGCAAATAACGTGTTTAAAATAACACATCAATAATACAATAATACACATATATACGTATATTACAATATACATATATATATGTATTCTCTCGAATCTCCACGACCGGTAATTATGAATTTTATACTGATAATCTTGCATTCTTGATCATTCTCAATTTTAGTAGTCAATTTGCTTTGTTACGTCTAGCCCAAAAGAATTAAAAAATTAAGGATTAAAATTAAATATGAACAGAGTATGAATGGATCTCGGAAAGACAGAAC